ATTATTTATACTCTGCTTCATCTCTCCCGCAGGAAATTATCACACAGGCCTGCTACACTCCTATTCTGGCATCTGCAAACAATTATATACAGATTCTCTCAAAGCCTAACTTGTGAGGGTAAGAATATACCTTTCTATTGAAGAGGAAAACATGGACATTCTTGAGTTTCTAAATTTATATGCTTACGAGGTGTGTGTGGAATGTTACCATAGTGGAGAAATGATCATCAGGATCCTGATGTGATGGATATTCCTGTTCTCTGTTGCCTGCAGTGGCCGTGAATGCCGACCCCACATTCTCTTGTAATCACTGAGTATTTATTAGCCCAGACCGGGATATCAACCAAATGCTCCTCCAAAGTACAAAAGGAGGCCATGGAAGCAACCATGATCGTACTTTGTCTCCTCCACCCAACAGCAATTCAGAGGAAGACTGCTGTGGAAGTGTTCCTCAAGAAGACACACAACAACCAGAGTACCATACGTGGACTCTTCAAGGCAGCAAACCAATAGCAGAAGGCAGGTTTCTTTGGGGAAACTTTGCCCTACACCGTGACTTCCTTACCTTGGATACCGGCGGCAGCTGTGTGAACACCTGAGAGGGAGCCAAAATAGCATGGAGCTGTGGATTCAGCGGGAGGAATGCACATGGAACCAGGAAGTGCTGTGAGGCTTCGACTCTTCGTCACAGGCATGGAAACCTCGCTTTTTCTGGCAAACTGGAAGGAAGGAAGGAGGAGTTAATGAGACAACAACACAGATGGAAAAGGAGTTATAAAATCAGAGATAGAAAGCATTCAGGGAACTGTCTACCGTCAGCCCCCCAGATTCACTGAGGTTAGAGGCACAGGGAAGCCATGAAAGGGAAAAGACGCAAAATACTAACATTGCTGGATTGTTGTGTGTTTTCCGGGCTATATGGCCATGTTCCCGAAGCATTCTCTCCTGATGTTTCACCTGCATCTATTGCAGGAATCCTCAGAGGTTGTGAGGACCTCACCTCTGAATCATAGAATAGAATCATAGAATCATAGAGTTGGAAGAGACTTTGTGGGCCATCCAGTCCAACTTCATTCTGCCAGAAAATTGCAGTCAAAGCACCCCTGACAGATGTCCATCCAGCCTGTTTCAAAGCCTCCAAAGAAGGAGCCTCCACCACACTCTGCGGCAGAGAGTTCCACTGCTGAACAGCTCTCACAGTATTATGTGTCATTGGGCAAGTAAGTTTAAAGATGTTGAGGTGGGAGCATCTGACTTGCATGACAAACAAAGAGTTGGACGTCCTGTGACAGCAACCACTGAGTTTCACAAGCAAAAAGTTGACAGATTGATTCAGGAAATCGTCTCACTCAGAGAGAAATTTCAAGCATAATCAGCATTTCACAAGAACATGTGGGTCACATTATTGCTTTGCTTGGCTATCGGAAGATCTGTGCACGATGGGTTGCGGAGTGTTGACTTCTTCCATGATGGCTTCAGAAAACGTGTTCATTGTTGGCAAAAAAGTATCAAATTGTCTGGTGATTATGTGGAAAGGTGAATAGTGGTAGTTAAAGAGTGTTGTGCCTCAGCCTGAGCCTGAGTTTCCTCAGGACGAGGAGGAGGATGGGTTACAGATTTCTGAACATGCCCCTGTTGTTGAGACAGACAGTGTTGATACTGAAGAAGAGATGGTGTTTCTGTTTCCCAAAGAAAGGATGTTGTTTTAGATGACGGTCATGATTTGAGTGAAATTTCACAGCTGCAGGTGGAGGGGTGAGATCAGTGCCTCTTGATTCCCAAGGTGGCCAGTCCCAGGATAATGAGTTATTCAGCCTTGAAACTGATGGGGATTTGATTAGGGAGGACGGTATGCAATTAAGAGTACGATGAAGTGCTCGGCTTGCTAACAAACGGGAAGTTTGAGGTCAACGTAATGCTTTCATGCTAGGGAAGAATATTTAACGATCTTATTGAAGTCAATCCTTTGTCAGTGCAACTTTGCTTACACCCTGTTAACTTCTCTGAAATTGCCTCGGCTTTTGGGGGAAGCTTTTGGCTCTTTGGGACTTTGGTTTTGATCTTGGTTTCTGAGAACTCTGTCATGCTGCCATGGATTCTTGTTTGACAAATACTTGTGGAAAATACTTCATGTTATTTGCCTTTGGACCTTGGAAACTCTGCCTTTGCAATTGAGACTCTGTTTTGGCTATTGAACTTTTATAACCTTATTTCTACATTTATTATTTTGTTTTTCTTCAATAAATTACAAAACCTACAGCCTTGGTGTGTGGTGTTGTTCTGAGCAAGGTGAATCTATCCTGAGTTGCAATAGTGAGCACATTCTAAGGATTATTTCTGTGTTTATTAAAATATTCCCATACAAACCCAAGTAATGAAGGTGGAAGCATTACTTTTCATTCAACCCTCATACAACTGAAAGACATTGACAGTCACCTGCTTGAAGTTCTTTTAAATATTCTGAGGAAGTGGGAGTCATGCATCGTTTCCCCAGGCAGCGCCTTACAAAGATTAAATACTTTTCCCCCCAATTCTTCTTCATAACTGCCTCTTATTCTATCTACAGTAGATATGGCAAAGGGGAAAAAAATCCCCTTTTCTTTCTGAAAATGGAACTGACACACTTTCAAAGGGATTTAGATAAAGAGCTCGAAACAACTGAAGAAAGTCCTTCAAATATGACAAATGTTGCAGTCTATCTTCAGCTATAGGAGAGCGATTCCCTCTGGTTTGCCCTTTTGAAGTGCTGTCACAATGGTGTTTGGCATCTAAGTAGTCAAGGCACTTATCTAAAGACTTTTGTTTGTTCCTAAATGGGACACTGAGTAAAGGACAACAGTAAAGAGAAAGAAAAGGTGTGGCCCAGGAAAGAAATAAGAGATACAGAATGAGAAGACATTCACCCTACTCACCATGGATGCGTCTATCTGAGCTAAGAGCCGGGGGTTGTTCTGCTCTACAGCCTCCAAGCACTGCAGCATGACCGTGACATGGGCATCGCTGAGCAAAAAAGCCGAGTCTGCCAACAAAAGAGGAAAGGGAAAAAAGGGAAGGAACTGAGACTCATACCGTCTATTGCTCTGTGGTTGGTTCCCATTGTATTTAATGTCTGTGTTTTCTTTGTTTACAGGCAGTGTAACAGGGAAATGGGATGGAATGTGGGTAAGAGGAAGCAGACCAGAGGCCTCCAGATAGAAGCTGGGACCAAAACATAATAATAATAATAATAATAATAATAATAATAATAATAATTCTCCTGACGTTTGCCTGCAATCTATGGAAACATTCACACCTAGCTCCAGCAGAGAAAAGCTCTTGGCCCCACCCCAGTCATTCCACAGATATATAAACCCATTGTCCTAATTCCAACAGACCTCACTACCTCTGAGGATGCTTGCCATAGATGCAGGCAAAACGTCAGGAGAAATGCCTCTAGAACATGGCTCTATAGCCCGAAAAAAACCACAAGAACCTAGTGATTCCAACCATGAAAGCCTTCAGCAATACAGTTAAAATACATCTCCTAAACAAAAATGAAATATAAGCAGTACAGTAACACAACAAGCATTTAAAACCTATGGCTGGGCCAAATGTAAAATTAAAAATAATGCTGGGCATGAGCAAAGTAGGATATAACTGGGATGGAAATTTTTGGAGGGAATAGGGCATGCAAATCAATCAATCCTAAATCAATAATAAAGTGCATTTTGAGGGCATATTGCTGAGAAATTCATTATTCTGGAAAGGCACACTGGAACAACCACATTTTCAGGCTCCTCCTAAAAATTGCCAGAGTTGGGGCATCCCGGATGTCCTTGGGAAGCGAGTTCCAGAGTCGAGGGGCCACCACCGAGAAGGCCCTCTCCCTCGTCCCCACCAATCGCGCCTGCGATGGAGGTGGGAGCGTGAGCAGGGCCTCTCCAGATGATCGAAGAGATCGTGTGGGTTTGTACACAGAGATGCGGTCACGTAAGTAGGCAGGTCCCAAACCGTTGAGGGCTTTGTAGGTAAGAACCTGCACCTTGAATTGGGACCGGAAAATTTGTTTCTCCCTTGATACACATATAAAAAGGTAAAGGTTTCCCCTGTATTAAATCTACTCGTGTTCGACTCTGGTGCTCATCTCCATTTCTAAGCAGAAGAGTTAACACTGTCTGTAGACGGCTCCTAGGTCATGTGGCTGGCATGACTGCATGGAGTGCCGTTACCCTCCCACTGGAGCAGTACCTATTGATCTACTCACATTTGAATGTTTTAACTGCTAGGTTGGCAGAAGCTGGGCTAACAGAGGGAGCTCCTCCCCAGATTCGAACAACTGACCTTTCGATCAGCAAGTTCAGCAGCTCAGTGGTTTAATAATAATAAACAACATTTAATACCCTGCCACCATCTCCCCAATGGGGACTCAGGGCGGCTTACATGAGGCCAAGCCCAACAGCATATTACAATAAAATAAAACCAAAACACAATAGCAACACAATAAAATACATACAACATATGAGTACAAAAAAAAAAAGCTACAGCAAAATCATACACAATAAAATAACAATGAGCGGGCTGCATGTTCGAGATAAAAAACTAAAATACTAAAGGTACTAAAATCAGGATGAGACAGGGATGGAGCAGATTGTTTGTGGGGGAGAAACTCAAAAAGGAAAGGGGTCATAAATATGGACCTTCATACAGGTGGGGAAAATATACTCTGGAGACAAAAACCATTGAGGGGGAGCAACTATGTATGATAATATGGCTACTCTCCAAAAGCGCATTTAACCTGTTGCACCACCATGAGCTCCTGATACACATGTATAAATGTTAAAAATAAACGGCGACTGATAAAAACTAGGTATCCCTGATCCAAAATGCTTGGAACCAGAAGAATTTTGAATGTTTTCAGATGTTAGAATACCTGTATTTGCCTCTCCATACATCACGAGATACCTTCGAGATGGGACCCAAGTCTAAAATTCATTTATGTTTAGTATACAACTTATACACATCGCCTAAAGGTAATTTTATACAATACTTTCAATTATTTTGTGCACTAAACAAAGTTTGTGGACGGTGAACTACAAGAAAGCAGACATGTCGCTATCTCAGCTACACACCTGGACAATTTTGCTGTATCTCGGAAATCTGGAGAAGAGACGTTTAACCCATATCGAAAGATAGAAAACTCTTTGATACTTAATTTTAAAATCAAATAGCAGTAGGGAACTTCTTGCTAAAGCCCATGATTAAAAGTCAAGCCCAGCGGTCCTCAAACTAAGGCCCGGGGGCCGGATACGTCCCTCCAAAGTCATTTACCCAGCCCTCACTCATGGTCAGCCTAATTCTGAAACTTGAAAGCACGCAACAACAACAACAACAACAACAACAACAATCCTATCTCATCAGCCAAAAGCAGGCCCACACTTCCCATTGAAATACTAATAAGTTTATATCTGTTAATATTGTTTTTCATTTTAATTAGTGTATTGTTTTAAAGTGTTTTTGCACTACAAATAAGATATGTGCAGTGTGCATAGGAATTCATTCATGTTTTTTTCAAATTATAATCCGGCCCTCCAACAGTTTGAGGGTTTGTGACCTGGCCCTTTGTTTAAAAAGTTTGAGGACCCCTGGTCAAGCCAATCTGACTTAGAAGAAGACACTGAGAAAACATGGAAAATCCAGTGAATTCCAAGAGATGTTTACCCTTTTGAGGCAGCCTCCAAAACACCTGTTTTGTGTTTATCCATAAATATAAATATGACACAAAGCAAAGAAGCAATTCTCAGTATATAAAGGCAACAGCCAACTCGAAGGCCTTTGAACCAAAGAAACAGTGCCAGCTTTCCTCCACTGCTTACTATTTAGCCCTTCTCAGTTTGACTTTCAAAGTTATTTGAGTCACAGCAGAAGCAAGTTTCTGTATATGTGCGTCTTTGGCACTTTCCAATCACACACAAAATGTCCAAAGATACACAGAAAAATAATTTTAAACATCTTAACTGTGAAAAAATTAGTGTCAGTATAATGACTTTAGGAAGCCAGTGTGGTGTAGGAGTTTGAGTGTTGCATTGTGACTCTGGAGACCAGGATATGCCCACTTGGCCATGAAAGCACACTGAATGATCATAGGCAAGTCTTACTGTCTCAGCCCCCCTGGGCACACAGAAAACTGGGCAACTTGGAAGGCGCTGAACAGACTACGCTCTGGCACCACGAGATGCAGAGCCAACCTTCAGAAATGGGGCTACAAAGTGGAATCCACGACATGCGAGTGTGGAGAAGAGCAAACCACTGACCACCTGCTGCATTGCAACCTGAGCCCTGCCACATGCACAATGGAGGACCTTCTTGCAGCAACACCAGAGGCACTCCAAGTGGCCAGATACTGGTCAAAGGACATTTAATCAACTACCAAACTCACACATTTTGTATTTTTTTGTTTGTTTGCTTTGATCTATTAGAAATGTAATATAAATGACTGGTTGCCCTGACACGACAAATAAATAAACTCTCAGCCTCACAGGATGGCAAAGGCTGGCTCTGCACTCTAGAATACATGCAGTTTGACACCACTTTAACTGCCATGGATCAGTACTATAGAATCCTGTAGTTTGCTGTAGTTTGGTGGAGCACGAGCACTCTTTGGTTCCGTAGCAATTAAAGGGATGCCAAACTGCATTATTCTACATTGCAGATGCACCTAAAGGCAAATCAAATCTTGTCAAGAAAGATTTGGTTGCCATAAGTTGGATATGACTTGAAGGCACATAAATAAAACAATAGCTACTTTTGAATGGAAAAGGTTTTTGGAATCTTTATTTAAGAGCTGCATCCCAAACTTGCACAGTCCTCATCTCTGCAGAACAGTTGCAAAACAAGTTCTGCATCTGGATGCAGGCAACAAAGGCCTCTCAGACGCCAACCTCCAGGCTCCGTCAGTTGGAGCAGGAACCTACCACCCACCCATCACAGGGCGAGCTTTAGACACTTACGGCTTTGTGCTCCAAGAATCAATGGGTTATGGTCATAAGCATGCTGGGAAAGGATAAAGGAAGCCAACAAGGAGTTAAGGAAGCGGCCCAAAAGAGAAGGGGCACTGGTAGTTACTACGCTTCTGGTTATGGATCAACTGCCTTTTCCCTTACGGATGTATTAGGTCCCCAAGGGACAGCTAAAGATATTCCTTGCAATGCTGTATGGTAAAGGTAAAGGTTTTCCCCTGACATTAAGTCCAGTCGTGTCCGACTCTGGGGGTTGGTGCTCATCTCCATTTCTAAGCCAAAGAGCCAGCGTTGTCCGTAGACACCTCTAAGGTCATGTGGCCGGCATGACTGCATGGAGCGCCGTTACCTTCCCGCCGGAGCGGTACCTATTGATCTACTCACATTTGCATGTTTTCGAACTGCTAGGTTGGCAGAAGCTGGGGCTGACAGTGGGAGCTCAGCCGCTCCCTGAATTCAAACCTGCAACCTTTCGGTCAACAATCTCAGCAGCTCAGCGGTTTAACCCACTGCGCCACCGGCAATGCCACCGGTGCATACGGCAATGACACCAGCAATGCCATATAATAATAATAACAATAATAATAATATAATAATACTTTATTTATATACCGTTCCATCTCCCCAAGGGGACTCAGAGCGGTTCCCAGGTAACATCACAAAACATACAAAGTAAAAAACAACATAACCATAAGATTAACAAAACAAAATATAAGCATAAAATTGTCGCCATAACACACATATATTAAAAGTAATCCTGCCTGTTCAAGGCAATTAAAAAATTTAAAAGGCCGGGCCAAGATTTGTGCAAGCCCAAAAATTCTAGGGGGCCCAGGAATTAAGTGCAATGCTATGGCAGGCAACAATAATATTAGGTATGGGTCTGTGGCTGTTCATTCCGGGGCCGACTCGAGGAAATGATCTGGGTAATTGGTAGGAAGAATAAGGCCGTATTCGACAATGTGTAGGGCTGAGTTAGAACTGGTCATTTTCAAAGGCTTGTTGAAACCACCAGGTCTTCAAGCTCTTACGAAAGGAGGGAAGGGATGGGGCCTGTCTTATTTCCCTTGGAAGGGCATTCCAGAGACGGGGGGCCACCACTGAGAAGGCCCTCTCTCTCGTCCCCACCAACCGTGCTTGAGACGGTAGTGGGACTGAGAGGAGGGCCTCCCCAGAAGATCTTAGAGCTCGCGCCAGTTCATAGAAGGAGATGCTCCTGAAATGCACTTCAGAGTTGTTTACAGCAGCCCATTTGGCATCGTGGCACAGAAACAAAAAATAGAGTAATATTTATTTATCATATGTGCACCCGTAACAGAATCCTCCAAGTGGTTTACAACTAATGTGCTAAAAGTCTAGCTGTGGGCTTACCCCTTTAGGAAGCACAAAGCATGTATCATCTAAACAGACAGTTTCTTGTCTAACCCGTAAAGCTATTTTCTAAACCACTTTAACTGAGGACAATTGTTTGTCTTCAAAGCGGGACCTTGAGAGTCTGTGTTTATTATGCTTCAATACGATGCACCCTGTGCACCCTGTACAGTGACCCTTTGTTCTTGAGGGTATTCTGATAAGGGCCATGAGCAATAACTGAACTAACAAAGGTTGTTAATAATTCATAGTCCCCATGGTTTAGTTGACTGGATTGGGAAGTGGAGGTGGAGCTCCTCCGTGTTGTCCTGCTTGCCCTTGGGCAAAACCAGTAAGGCTCATAATGAAGAAGTGAAGTTTGCAGGGTAAAGGGGGGTCCAACTAAACCCATGAAAAGTGGCCAAGGATAGCAGGTAGTTCTGAATATTTGAGAGATCATTACAAAAGAGCTGAAAGTTACCCTCTCGGACTGGCACGGGTTCTTTTTCCAAACTGAGCTCTTCTTCCCAAGGCCTTCTCTGTAGCAAAGGCAACAACTATGGGATGGACTTCTAAGAGCTTATCCAATTTTAAGAAATTACATTCCACTAGCCAAACCCTTCCTCTGAATTCCTAGTGAGACTACATTTTAAAGCAGCTCCATTGGCTGTCGGTAAGTTTCTGGGCCCAAATCAAAGTGCAAATTATCACCTATAAAGGCCAAAACGGCTCAGGTACTACCTATCTTCATGACCGCATCTCCTCCATCAACCCACGCTGGCTCTAAGATCTGCCAGGGAGGCCCTCCTTTCCGTCCCACCACCATCACAAGTATGGTTGGTGGGGACAAGGGAGAGAGCCTTCTCAGTGGTGGCCCCCCCAGCTTTGGAATGCCCTCTCCAGGGAGATTAGACAGGCCCCCACATTTTCCTTCTTTTGTAGGGATTTGAAGATGTGGCTTTTCAAACAAGCTTTTGAGAACGCTTAGTCCCTAGTTGTTTAGCATAGTTTGAATACTGTTTGAATTTTGTTTGAATACTGTAAAAAGCCAGTATATCTATGGAAAGAATTGAAAAGATTTTAATGGGATAGGAATTCCTCAGGGACTGGTAAAAATGGTTCTAAATCATTTGCAAAAAGATGTAGCTTTTGCTTTATCTTACGTATTTTTACTCCCTTGTTTATCTGTGTTTTTCTAGAACCTATAGCTGAATCCCTCAGAGAACATGCAGATATACAGGGGGTAAAATTAATAAAGTAAAGGTAGGTTGAAAATGCTTTAAATAAGAATATTGCATGGGACATCAAAATAAAATATTATTAGTTTGTTAATTAAAAAATGTATATATTGGTTGGGTTGTTGTAGGTTTTTTGGGCTATATGGCCATGTTCTAGAAGTATTCTCTCCTGACGTTTCGCCTGAATCTATGGCAAGATGCTTGCCATAGATGCAGGCAAAACATCAGGAGAGAATGCTTCTAGAACATGGTCATATAGCCCAAAAAACCTACAACAACCCAGTGCTTCCAGCCATGAAAGCCTTCGACAATATATATTGGTCATATGGTCAAAAACGGCGATCCATGCAGTCATGCTGGCCACATGACCTTGGAGGTGTCTACGGACAACGCCGGCTCTTCGGCTTAGAAATGGAGATGAGCACCACACCCCAGAGTCAGACATGACTGGACTTAATGTCAGGGGACTACCTTTACCTTTACCTATGGTCAAAAACAAGCAAACCATCCGTGTAACCCATCCATGCATAATAGAAAAGCCAGCTCAACTACATGAAATATGATCAATAAGAAACTTAATAAAAGACAAGAAAGAGGAAAAGGAAAACGGATAACTGCTAAATAATAAAAGAAGTAGCTCTATTTGCTGATATGTGGCAGGATCAGGCTGCAGAAGATGGAAGCAAACCCCACTTGGCTTCTCCTCTCCCTGAATGAGTTTCATCTCAAGTGGCCATCATGAGAAGTACTAGAGAAATGAGTCCCTGAATCTGCTTCTTTTTCTTCTTCCTTCCTCAAGCTTTTCTCTTTATGTGTTTTTAGACTACAAGTTCACAGATACAGACTGTCTAGTTTTTACTGATATTAAGTAGATTTAATATCAATAAAAACTGGAGCCTGCAGTGGCACAGCAAGTTGTTTTTTTTTGTTTGTTTGTTTTTTTGTCGTGTCAGGAGCAACCTGAGAAACTGCAAGTCGCTTCTGGTGTGAGAGAATTGGCCGTCTGCAAGGACATTGCCCAGGGGACGCCCTGATGATTTGATGTTTTATCATCCTTGTGGGAGGCTTCTCTCATGTCCCCGCATGAGGAGCTGGAGCTGATAGAGGGAGCTCAACTGCCTCCCCCCCGGATTCGAACCTGTGACCTGTCAGGCTTCAGTCCTGCCGGCACAGCAAGTTAAACCGTCACCCTTTCGGTCAGCAAGTTCAGCAGCTCAGTGGGCACAGCAAGTTAAATCACTGAGCTGAACTTGCTGACCGAAAGGGTGGCGGTTCGAATCCGGGGAGCAGGGTGAGCTCCTGCTGTAAGCCCCAGCTTCCACCAACCTAGCAGTTAAAAAACATGCAAATGTGAGTACATCAATAGGTACTGCTTTGGCAGAAAGGTAACAGCACTCCATGCAGACATGCTGGCCACAAGGCTTAGAAATGGAGATGAGCATCAACCCCTGGAGTTGGATACGACTAGACTTAATGTCAAGGGAAACCGTTACCTTACTTAAGCAGGCTATCTGCAGAGTCTTTTTGACTGGAGTGATATAAATACCCTTTAAGTAATAATTTGTAATGAAAATAATGGATGGTGAAAAACTGCCGTTTTTTCATGTGTGGTTTCACACTACACAGGTTTTTTCACTCTACTAAGTCTATGGCCCAGAACCAGATCCAGACATTTTCATCTAAAAGGAAGTTCCTTACTCACAATGATGCAAAGAGAGGTTAAAGTCCTCCCATTATTTTTAGCAACTGAAAATGAATTTTCACTTGGTTATCTGTTATCAGATATTGATCAGCATTACAATATTTCCAAGCAGGGAACAAACCAAATTCTATTTTTTTAAACCAATCTCAGTCAAATATATTTTAATATTTTGGTTTTTATTTTTAGCAAGTGAGATTGAAAGTCCAACACCAAAAATCTCTTTTGAACATGTATGTATTTATTGATTTTAACTGATTTTTAAATACCTATATTTAATTATGTTTTAATGTTTATATATTTGTAGATTTTCATTTGGGAAGTGTCCGACGTGTGATCCAATACAACAGCCAGCGGAGTGTCTGCTGTGGACTCATCTTGTTGTGTTTAACAAATAAATAAATAAATAAATAAATAATAGATCACATCCTCAGCTGCTGCAAGAAGATCGTGCAGACAGACTACAAGTAGAGGCACAACACCATTGCTCAGATGATCACAAGCCGGAAAGAGTTACAGGAAATGAACACGTCAAGCTACTCCGGGACTTCTGGATTCAGACAGACAGAGTTTTGGAGCACAATACTCCTGACCTCACAATCGTGTTAAAAAACCAAGTATGGATTGTCGATGTTGCAATCCCAGATGACAGGATTAACGAGAAAGAACTGGAAAAGCTGACACAATATGAGGATTTCAAGACTGCAAAGACTCTAGCACAAGCCAGTCAAGTTGGTCCCTGTGGTGATTGGCACACTGGGTGCAGTGCCTAAAGACCTTGGCCTGCACTTAAACACAATCGGCGCTGACAAAATTACCATCTGCCAGATGCAAAAGGCCACCTTACTGGGATCTTTACGCATTATTCGCTGATACATCATACAGCCCTAAACACTTGGGAAGTGTCCGACGTGTAATCCAATGCAATAGCCAGAAGAGGGTCTGCTGTGAACTCATCTTGTGGCATTTCAAATAATAATAATAATAATAATAATAATAATAATAATAATAATAATAATAGTGGAAGGCAACATTAAGACTGAAGGAGACTCCCAACTAGACAATCCCAAAATGCTTTATGGCAGCTGACCTTCACGATGCATTGGCTACCCCTAGCCATGTTAGGGCTGTAATCCCATCTGGCTAAAAGGGGGTTAATGAAGCAGAAGCAGGAGGGAGAAGAAAAGTGCGGGAGAGATGTCGTATTCTGTCTGCAGGCTGCCAACTGCGAACCACAGGGACACAACTCAAAGCAGTCTCCTCAAAAGAAGGGAGGGAGGAATCACATCATTCATTTTTATCGGGAAGGGGATAAAGAAGTACATGCCAGGTGCCGGTTCCATGTTACCTGCATAGAATTTCCTGACGTACTGCTTGTTCTCAAGTAGAGGCTTCAGCTGAGCTGAGAGGCAATGGAACTGCAGGCTGTGCTGGAGCCAGAGCTCTGCAATGGCTCGGTCGGTGTTCCGCTGCCCGTTCTCATGCAGGCTGATGAACTGGAAAACAAGACGGCACTTTCAAGAAAACGCAGGCCACGACCAGGAGGTAATAAGACAGCAGTGCATCGGATCACCATTGATTGAGTGCCCTTCTCAGTCTCCCAGGTTTGCAAAGCTGCCAGACAGACTTGCCATAGTGGCTGTTTGAGGCATCACCTGATACGCAAGAGGCAGCAGCGTGGTCTGAAATGTGGGCTGGGCTGAGGAGACCTGTATTGTATTTCTACAGGGAAGGAGACAACTCTGTTTGCTCTTGCGTCTGGCCACATTGTCCGGGCTGCCAAACCTTGAAATGGGGATTTCACAACAGCATATAGCGGGGAAATTTTTTTCTCAAGAGGAGGATGTGTACATGCCAACACAAAACCTATCCAAACCATCCCACCTCCTCATTTTGATATGCCTTTCTACCCTTTGACTTTATGTCAGGAACACAAGACATTGTGAGGAGTGTCAGCTAGATTCCAGGACTGTGCTATAATCTAGTCATTACTTCTGAATGCAAACATGAGAAACCCATTAGGAAAACATAACATATATATTCAAGTATAAACCGAGCTTTTCAGCCCTTTTTCAGGCTGAAAAAGCCTCCCTTGGCTTATCCTCGAGTCAAGGTCATTTATTATTTTACTCTGTTGTTGTTATCATCATCATCATTATTATTACTATATTACATTTATTTTATTCAATTATAATAATTATTATTACATTTACATTATTTTACTCTATTATTATTTTATTACATTTATTATTTTACTTTCTTTATTATTATTATTACCTTTAGTATTTTTCTCTATTTATTATTGTTATTCTTACATTTGTTATTTTACTATATTTATTATTATTATTACATTTATTATTTTCTCTCTAGAATTATTATTAGTTACATTATTTTACTCTATTATTATTTTATTACATTTATTATATTACTCTATTATTATTATTACCTTTAGTGTTTTTCTCTATTTTTGTTATTCTTACATTTGTTATTTTACTCTATTTATCATCATCATCATCATCATCATCATTATTACATTTATTATTTTACTCTCTTTATTATTATTATTCCACTTATGATTTTACTCTCTTTATTATTATTGGAAGGATACGTAAGCACATTTACACTGAAGAAGGTTAGAATTATGGTTTAATCAGAGTTGGATAGTCTTATCTTAAATTACATTTTTATGTAAATATTCAAAAACATTTAACCTACTGATGTCTCAATCAATGGAATGTTATTGGTATCTAATTTTATGTGGAAATTTACCAGTAGCTGCTGCATTTCCCGCCCTCGGCTTACACTTGAGTCAATATGGTTTCCTTGTTTTTTGTGGTAAAATTAGGTGCCTCTGCTTATATTTGGATCGGCTTATACTCAAGTATATACAATAAGTAGGTAACACCCCCACCCCCCACCACCATCACTTAGGAATATTTCTGGTGAACGATCAGCACAATGCAAGGGCTTGATCATTGCAAAATACAATCCACACAGTCATTCTTACTTTCACCTTTGCCCAGCTGGAAAAGCCCTCCAATATCCAATTTATCTTCCTCTCCTTTAGTATTTTTCAAATGCCCTGATTCTCAGACAAGAAGTCAGGACTGACAACCTAAATCTTGTTTTCCGGTTTCTCTAACTCCCAAGTCTGAGGCTGCTGGCTTTGCCTGAAGGCCTGCAACCGCAGCTCTGTGCTTTAAGAAGGAGTTTGTCTCTCCCACTGCCTTTCAGCGCCTCTTTTTATCAGAGCAACATACCAGCTCCATTAGACTATGCCTATGCAATCTGTCTGTGCTCTGCCCTCTACAAAGGTTAGAACAACAAATAAGAAAGCTACCTCCACTCTCACCTTGTTGGTTGCAGGAAACTGCCTACTTTGCTGTTTTACTGCAACTCGACCTTCCCACCCATTCACCCACAATATTTGAGCTTAAATCTCCCTTCTGCCCTTCAAATTCCTCACCTTCTCCACATGATGGGCTGCATGAGGGCTCAGCCAGCGGATGTCCTTCACAAAATGCCAGTAATCCCTCTGCCGGCAACACACCTGCCCAGGAAACACACAGGTTAAGGCTGTGGACACTCAGAGCCAGAGGGGGAGTACACAGAGACAGTCATTAGAGGGAAAGCTTAGAAAAGGGAAGGAAATTAACTCCTCTATAGCTGCTGACTCTGAATTACAGACCAAATCCCATCAGGTGGCCGGAAGTAATCTTCTGCTGCAATCTGTTATACTGAAAATGCACCCGCAAAACAAAACAAAGCACCCCTAGTTGTAGCTTTCCTATGACCGGAAGAAAATCTGACAGAAGCAGAGCCAGGAATTTAAGAGCATGTGGACACTTCCCTCTCTCTTTTCAATTATTTTTATTCATAGAATCATAGAATCAAAGAGTTGGAAGAGACCTCCTGGGCCATCCAGTCCAACCCCCTGCCAAGAAGCAGGAATATTGCAATCAAATCACCCCTGACAGATGGCCATCCAGCCCCTGTTTAAAAGCTTCCAAGTTTTTCCAATTTTCCAATTTTATAAAGTTATAAAATTGTTGTTCTTGTTCATCCGTTCAGTAATTTCCAACTCTTCATGACTTCATGGACCAGTCCACGCCAGAGCTCCCTGTCGGTCGTCACCACCCCCAGCTCCTTCAAGGTCAATTTCAAGGATACCATCCATCCATCTTGCCCTTGGTTGGCCCCTCTTCCTTTTTCCTTCCATTTTCCCCAGCATCATTGGCTTCTCTAAGCTTTCCTTTCTTCTCATGATGTGGCCAAAGTACTCCATCTTGGCCTCTACTATCCTTCCCTCCAATGAGCAATCGGGCTTTCTTTCCTGAAGTATGGACGGGTTGGATCTTCTCGTTGTCCAAGGCACTCTCAGCACTTTCCTCCAACACCACAGTTCAAAAGCATCTATCTTCCTTCACTCAGCCTTCCTTATGGTCGAGCTCTCACATCCATAGGTGACTACAGGGAATACTATTGCTTTGACTATGTGGATCTTTGTTGCCAATGGGATGTCTCTACTCCTCACTATTTTATCGAGATGGGTCCTTGCTCTCCTCCCAAGAAGTAAACATCTTCTGATTTTCTGGCCACAGTCTGCATCTGCAGTGATCTTTGCACCTAGAAATACCAAGTTTGTCACTGCCTCCACTTTTCCTCCCTCTATTTCCCAGTTGTCATTCTTGTTGCCATAATCTTGGTTTTTGTGATGTTTAACTGCAACCCAGCTTTAACCCTTTTTTCTTTCACCTTTATTGAAAGGCTCCTCAGCTCCTCCTCGCTTTTGGCCATCAAAGTGGTGTCATCTGCATACCTAACTTTGTTAATGTTTCTTCCAGCAATTTTAACCCCAGCCTTGCATTTGTCAAGCCCCACACATCACATGATGTGTTCTGCATACAAGTTGAATAGGTTGGGTGAGAGTATGCAACCCTGCCGTATGCCTTTCCCAATCTTGAACCAGTCGGTTGTTCCGTGGTCAGTTCTGACTATTGATACTTGGTCCTTATACAGATTCCTCAGGAGAGAGATAAGGTGATTTGGTATGCCCAGACCACCAAGAACTTGCCACAAGTTATGAAATACATAAACTAATATATAAAGCAACAAATAACAGCAAATAGTGAGCGCAGTCAAGTGGGTTAGAGGGGGATATAGTGGGATAACAGAGAAATAGCAAAAAAGAAAAAAATGTAAAGGGGGAAAGGTAAGGTAACTGTTGATTTCCAATCTTTTGTTTATATTGTACGTTTTGTATGTTGTAAGCCACCCTGGATCTGCTCACAGAGAAAGGAAGGGTAAAAATATCTTAAATAAATAAATAAAGAGATATCAGTCATGGGGCGTCAGTTGTTCCAGAATCTATGCACCTGAGACAGATAGCTCAGGTGCCAATGCTATGGCATAAAGTGCTTGTAAAAAGCACAGGTGCAACATGACCACAATAAAGGCGGTACAGTACGTGAACAACAAATGATAAGAAGCAGCCTCATTTCCTATGCATGGTTGGAGACAATACAGGAAAAACAGCAACCTAACCATGGACTTTGATGCTTTCTTTAGAAAGTATGCAAAGCTAACACTCAGCTCTGAAGACACCAGGAAATGGGGCATTAAAAAAGACTCTCGTACAGTTCGATACTAAAAGGTGTCAAAAATGCACATTTCCAGATACCATGCTTTAATTAGTTTGCTTAGTTTTTTTAAATACCTTTTAAAATCACTACCAAAGTTCTCAGAGATTTTAGCACCACAATTCAACTAGTTTGGATGGGAATCTGATGAATGATAGCCAACTAGGATGAGAACCAAAAGGTACTGTAGTTTGCTTTTCAGTACAATGATTTTATCTGTTTGTCTTCTCTATCTCCTGAAGTCCGGCAGAACTCTCTGGGGAGGGCAGAAAGAAACACTTGAAAATCCAGAACCAGTGTCTGAACATATCTCCCTCTGTGATCCACCTCGAAGGCTAAGATCATCAGGGGAGGTCCTGCTCTTGGTCCCACCCCCCTCGCAAATGTGACTGGTGGGGACAAGAGACAGGGCCTTCTCAGTGGTGGCTCCTTGTCTACTGAACTCCCTCTCTAGTGAAATTAGATCAGCCCCCTCCGTCCTGACCTTCATGAAAAAACTAAAGCCTACCGGGCCCAATTCAAGGTGCAGGTCTTGACCTACAAAGCCCTGAACRGTTTGGGACCCTCCTACCTGCGCGACCGTATTTCCATCTACGAACTCACACAATCCCTTCGATCCTCYGGGGGCCCTTCTTYCRTTCCCGTCCACATAGCAGGTGCGATTTGCGGGGACGAGAGAGAGGGCCTCCTCTGTGGTGGCCCCCCGGCTCTGGAACTCACTCCCCARCGACATTAGACAAGCCCCCACACTGGCAATATTTAGGAGGAATTTGAAAACCTGGTAATTCTAATGTGCCTTCAGTGATTGAATGTAAGATTCTCCCTGACCACACTTTGCATAAAATGTCCTTTACCGCACTTTATTTTATGAGTTGTGCAATGAAATCCCTCCTCATTCTTGGAGCCTCCTCCTTATAAGTTACACTGTCCTATCTCCCAGTATTTTTTTAAAAAAAAATATTATTTCATCCATGCATTTGGCCCTGCTTAGTGAAATTCCCTGTGTTTTTAATGTTTGATTTTATATTGTTGTGTTGTATATTMTTTTGATTTTGCATTTTATGTATTTTGCTCGTTTTATTGTGTTTTGTGTTATATTGCTTGTATTGTAACAATGGGCRTGGCCTCATGTAAGCCGCACCGAGTCCCCCTGGATGGAGCAGGGTATAAATAAAGTTGTTTATTATTATTATTATTATTATTATTATTATTATTATTATTATTATTATTATTATTATGGCTTTGGGACCAAGCTTTTGATCAATAAGTAGTGCAGTAAGAGACCACAAATAACAGAATGAAGACTCAGATTGGCCCTGGAATATGATCTGGATTTTGTGATTTTAACTGAGGTTTTAATGTTTATGTTTTAATTGAGTTGGTTTTAATGCAATTGTTTATTTACCAATATGTATATGTATATACGCCTACGGCATTGAATTCTTGGCTTTGTGAGGTCACTCTGAGTCCCCTTCGGGGTGAGAAGGGCGGGGTACAAGTGTGGTAAATACATAAATAAATAAATAACCCACGTGTGTTTCTCAAATTTATACACAGTCTTTCCTCCGGTGAATTGATGATGCTGTACCTGGGCCTTGCCCTTCTCTCTTTATCTCCACAATAGTCGCGTAAACAATTGAAGCAGAAAGTGACGAAGATGTTTCACCTCCCAGGAATGTTTAGTGACAATGAAGCAGCTAAGAATATTACTTTAATTTCAGATAGCAATCAGATTGCTACGTGATGGAATAACCTTTAGGCAAACAAGCCTAACTATTTTCTGACACCAGCTTCCTCACCATTAGCAACTCATGTCTGTATCCCTGCAACTGAAGAACCTTTTAAAGAATACACTAGTGAAGATTAGCGAAACTTTTATCTGTGAAGATCCTGACATCTTTAATAAGAAGCATTGTTTAACAAATATTATTTTAAGTTACACAGGTATATTATATTATTCAATTTTTGCAAGTTTATTTTGTAATAAAAAAATAAATAGATTAAAAAAAATTTCCATTTACTAACTCCTGGCAGTATAAAGAGGAATTGATCCCAAAAATAAGTTCTCAGTGTATTTATTGAACTTTATTTAACATACGAGGGGGTTAATTCACAGCTAAAGACTTCCTTGAGCTATGATTGAGAACATTAATTAAACAAACACAAAAAAGACCTTCATGTGGAAGAGGAGAAAACTGCTACAAGTCAGAGATGAAAATGACAGCTTACACTGAATAATGATCTGCCTTCATACACAAGAGATTTATAGCACACTGAAATCCCATCTCAAGCACCAACAGCGTTCTTTTCTTCTTCTGAGTAATGACCCTTTATCAAAAGGTAAGCCATACACAATTTCAAGATGTTATCTATATATTCAAGGGCTCTGGGTGTGAATGTGTGTCAGAGAGAGAAAGAGAGAAGGAAGGATTCTGTGATTTATTTCATTCTATGGAGAAAAGCCAACAATTACTCATAATATGAATTATAGCTTCCCTGCTCTTACAATAAACCATCTTTAGAGGCAGGGGTAATTCCTACAATCAGATACTACCTACTCTTATCTCAAAAGGGCAATATTCCAGCCACAAGATGATCAAGGCAAGTAAATGATTTATTCTTGTTGTACAACAAAAGCAACAGCGACAGAACATGGGCTAAAGTTCCACTGCATTTCCCACAAAGCATGGAAAATGATGGAGTCCATATAAAACCATTAACGTCTTTCACCTTTGTTGGAATCGGAAGCAACTTTTCAAACTTTGGCTCCCACTGTTGGGACTCAGCCTGTGACTGAACCTGAGCCTGTGCTTGAACCTGTGAATGTGTTTCAGTCTCCTAATGTTTCTGTGTCTCATGTGGGTAATGAGGAGGGAAATCAGTCCCCTGTTGCTTCTGATGTGGGGGATGCTGGGGCTGACTCTGAGGTGCAAGATGGAGACACTTTGGTCAATGAGTTTCATGCAGACACTGACAGAGAGGTTTCAGTGCAAAGGGCAGATTCTCATGAGAATGTTTCTGTCAGGCCTTGGGAGAAAGGTTTACTCCCTCCGTCTGTGAACTCTTCAAATTCTAATTTGGAAAACAGTCTGGCACCTGGGGAGTCAGATAAGCAGTTGGCAGCTGGAGATTAGCCAGAATCAACAAGAGCCCCAATGTTTATGTGGATCCGAAAGAATTTGTCAATTAAAGTCAAAGACTGGGGGGAAACGAAACCAGTTTTTGGGATTTAAGGTTTGCCTGTAGAAAATCTTATCAGATTAGGCATTGTTTGGAAACCAAGTTCTTGTGCCATGGAAGTCTTGCTCAAGGGACCTTGTTTCTGTGGAGTTTTTTTAGTCTTTTGGATTGTCTTTGCGTCCTGCTTGATTCCTGTCTGGATTAATGCAGCCTTGGATTGCCTATATTTCTTGTGTGGACATTGCTTTGGGTTAATACTGTTTATGGACTATAGAAGATTTGATTCTTCACTCTTTGTGTGGTGTATTTTAAGTCAGAGGGCTTCTTCTGGACCTGGAGTGCAACACCCTGGTCAAACTTAGAACCTTAGGCTCAGGTGTTAGGTCTATACTGAGGATGTTTGGGCTTGATGGCAACTTTAATGGGTCCTCTGCCCAAACCCAGCTGTTTCTCTTCCCTTTTTTAGTGCTTCTCCTCAATGTGGAATGGAAACTAACAAAAACCCAAGACCCCAACGATGTTTTCCTCCACTAACTTTCACTCCTCTCCACTAATGTCTTTCACCCCACAATGAACCAGGGCTGGCCTAGGTTGAAAAGCTTGCAAGGCCCATTGTGATGTGCACAGGGGTCTTTGTGTTGCCAGTAGTCCAGGCAACACAAAGGTGCAGGCCCCACCATTGTTTCTTGGATATCTTCTTGCATGCCTGGTCTAAACTATTCAATAACTCTCACTCCTCTCTACTAATGCCTCTTCCCCTACAGTTAAGCCAGGGTTAGCCAAGGCTGAAAGGTTTGCAGGAGCCAATATGATGAGCGTTGGGGTCTTTGTGCTGCCAGTAGTCCAGGAGATGCAAGTCCCACCATTGTTTTTCTGATATTTCCTTCTTGTGGGCCTGAATCCCCTTGCGTGCCTGGTCGAATTCCTCTCCACTCTCATTTCTCTCCACTAACACCTCCCCACCTCCACAATGAACCCAGGGCTGCCCGAGGCTGAAAGGCTTCAAAGGACCATTGTGATGCGCACTGGGGTCTTTATGCTGCCAGTAGTCCAGGAGATGCAGGTCTCACCACTGTTTTTCAGAAATCTTCCTGCGGGCCTACATCTCCTTGCGTGCCTGATCTAACCTCTCTCCAATAACTCTCCTCTCTACTAATGCTTCTCCCCCACAGTTGTCAGGGCTGGCCAAGGCAGAAAGGCTTGCAGGGTCTAATGTGATGCACATTGGGGTCTTTGTGCTGCCATTCATCCAGGAGATGCAGGTCTTGCCATTGTTTTTCAGAGGTCTGCTTCTTACAGGCCTGCATCTCCTTGCATTTAAGGTATTCATGCCATCCAGATACTAACTGAATACAAGCCTGCTTAGCTTCAGCAAGCATATACTCTGATCCATGACACAGGAATAATAGCTTCACTATTTTTCTTAGATCGCTTCTTGACTACTGTACCCAAGGGTTTATACACCAGACAGGGAAAGCAGGGGGAATCTTCACTCAGAGGTAGAGTGTTAGGAAGACAAGATAACACAGCTGGGAAGTAAGCCTGAGAATTGAAAGTGGAGAGGTTAAAGGTCACCAAATCACATAAGCAATTGACAAAGACAGATAGAGGGGGAAAGAAGAACCATTGAGAGAGTAATATATCCTCACACAGGGAGGCCTGCAAGTTTTTGACAGGCAGGAAGTAATTTAAAACAAAGAGAGAACAGAACTTGTTTGAAATCACAAAGTGGCATTTCTATCTACACACACACAGAAACACACACACACACACACACAAACACACACTGGATTACATCTTAGCCAATATCTTGCATTGTATACCTCCTATTTTAAAAACAGTAACAGTAGTTGGTTCTTCATCAGTTCCATGCTCCTTGTTCAGTGGTCCTAATATATCCACTGATATTTGTACATACTTTTTTTCAAGACATAATACCATTGGAATGGTGAGAACTAGACTGGGGTAACCGATGACCAGCAATGGGTTTTTATTGGTTAAATTGGTTGACACTCTATGAATTATTAATTGCAAAACTATAGCAAAATGTGCTGCAGGATGTCACTCCCACAGAAACAGAGTTTTTTTCAGTTTAATAAACTTTTTCCATGTTCCTATAATATAACCAATTAGGAAATGACATTTACAACCCCCCCCCCGGGGGGGGGGCATGATACATAGTGTAATATCTGTTTTTCAGAAAAAGAAGTTGACTTCTGGCCAGTTTTGCTTTCTCTGCACTTGGGGAGCATTTCTGGCATTGTGTGGACTCAGCAAAATTCCAAGGGAAGAACACTGGTCCATTCTTGTATCAGATCATCTCAAGTGTCCCTTACTTATAAATTATTTTGTGACCATCCCAGGTGAACTACCTCTGGAGAGAAGAGCGTGGGCATACATTCTAGACAGTCCCACCTGGGGAAACCTACCTTGTCTGGGATGAGGCCATGGTACAGGATGCCATGCATGTCCCTGCAAAGCCGTTGCAAGCCCCCATATTTAGACCAGACGTTGGGATTGTTGATGGACACCAAGCCCTCCACAGTAGACTTCAGGCTGCCCAGAAGCTTCCAGTGCTCTTTCCTGCAAAGTGCAAACAAGCTACGATCAAACCACAATCAGTTCCGCAGTGTCAATGACGTTTTCTCAGTGTTTCCAGAAACCAGAAAAACGGACACATAAAATGCACAGATGTTGTTGTTGTTCATTCGTTCAGTCATTTCCGACTCTTTGTGACTTCATGGACCAGGCCACGACAGAGCTCCCTGTCAGTCGTCACCACCCCCAGCTCCTTCAAAGTCAATCCAATCACTTCAAACACAGATGTAAGATCAGCCAAATAAATAGATCATTGGCCTAGTTCTTTGTGTGTGTCTTTGTGCTTACAATCTCACCTAAACTCTTTGTATGAGTGGAATCTGTAAGTATGTCCACAGCCTTGTCTCTTCCACAAAGAAACACATGTCTCTCTCCCCCAACAGACTATTGCTTAATTCAAGGTAATAAAAGGGAAGCCCTTTTTCTCAAAATACATAAGGAGGAGGAAGAAGAGAAGTATGGATAGTCCGATTTTGCAATCCCGGCAGGATTAACGAGATGCAACTGGAAAAGCTGACATGATATGAGGATTAAAAGATCGAGCTGCAAAGACTCTCGCGCAAGCCAGTAAAGGGGGTCCCAGTGGTGATTGGCACACTGGTGCAGTGCCTAAAGACCTTGGCCTGCACTTAAACACAATCACAAAATTACCGTCTGTCAGCTGCAAAAGGCCACCCTACTCGGATCTGGACGCATTATTTGCCGATACATCATATAGTCCTAGGCACTTGGGAAGTATCCAACATGTGATCCAATACAACAGCCAGCATAGTGATCTTGTTTGCTGTATAGTAATCTTGTTGTGTATCTAATAATAATAATAATAATAATAATAATAATAATAATAATAATAATTGTCTAACCCAGGGGTCCTCAAACTTTTTAAACAGAGGGCCAGGTCGCAGTCCCTCAAACTGTTGGAGGGCCGGATAAGAATATGAAAAAAAATGAATTCCTATGCACACTGCACATATCTTATTTGTAGTGCAAATAAACCCCACTGAAAAACAATACAATAATTAAAATGAAGAACAATTTTAACAAATATAAACTTATGAGTATTTCAGTGGGAAGTGTGGGCTTTTGGTTGATGAGATAGCACTGTTGTTGTTGTTGTTGTGTGCTTTCAAGTCATTTCAGACTTAGGTTGACCCTGAGCGAGGGCCAGGTAAATGACCTTGGAGGGCCATATCCGGCCCTCGGGCCTTAGTTTGAAGACCCCTGGTCTAACCCATCCTCTCTTCTTGAAGAGACTCAGAGCAGTTTCCAAAGCAAAAGGCAAACATTTAATTCCACATACAATTATAAAAAGACAACGCTCTAAAAATAACAACAACTGAATAATAGATTAAAACATGGATAAAAATGGACCCCATGAGGAAGATGGGCGATCAGGCCTCATAAAGTGCATGAGCAGTAAATACTGTTTAAATATTTAGATTTTAGACATAATTAACTTATAAAGTGTTCTTTTACAGGATAGCACCAGAGCCTCTGGGGACAAAGAGGGTGGAGCAGATTCATGAAGATCTCTTTAACTTCCATTACCCATGACAGCTAAACTGAACCTTCAAGTTCAGGGGTTTCCTGCTCTAAGTATCAGCTGCTTGGGAGTAAGCATTCCAAAATACGAAATATATAACACTTCTGGTCCCAAGTGTTTTGTATAGGGAACACTCACTCTGTATGATACGGTAACAAACAGAAGGAAAGTGGCGGAGTGGCAAATGCTGCCATGAATGAATCAGGATTCTTAAATGCCGCATTGTCTGGTTTACATATCCCTTCCAGGTTAGCATAAAACAACAACAACAACAAAACTTTATTTATATACTGCTCTATCTCCCCGAGGGGATTCAGAGCGGTTTCCAAGTAACATAATCAATACATACAAAGAAAACAGCTTAAACATAAAATTAACAAGACAATATAAGCATTAAAAACTGCAATAGCACATATATTTAAAATAATCCTGCCTGTTCAAGGCAGTTTAAAAGGCTGGGCCGGGCTAGTGCAATTTGAGAGGGCCTGGGAAATTGGGTAGAGTCTATGGCTGTACATTTCCAGGGCCTAACAGAAGAAAGTGACCTGGGTAATTGGTAGAAAACAATATGGCCAATTTCAACAGTCTCTGGGGCAGAGCAAGAACTAGTCGTTCTCAAAGGTTTGTTTAAACCACCAGGTCTTCAGGCTCTTACGAAAGGAAGGGAGGCATGGGGCCTGTCTTATTTCTCCAGGTTCATAGAGGGAGATGCGATCGCGAAGATAGGCGGGGCCTGAACCGTTTAGGGCAGTGGTTCTCAACCTGGGGGTCGGGACCCCTGGAGGGGTCGTCAGAGGGTGTCAGAGGGGTTGCCAAAGACCACCACAGACAGTATTTTCTGTTGGTCATGGGAGTTCTGTGTGGGAAATTTGGCCTAATTCTATAATTGGTGGGCTTCAGAATGCTCTTTGGTTGTAGATGAATTATAAATCCCAGCAGCTACAACTCCCAAATGTCAAGGTCTATTTTCCCTGAACTTCACCAGTGTTAACATTTGGGCATATTGAATATCCGTGCCAAGTTTGATCCAGATCCATCATTGTTTGAGTACACAGTGCTCTCTGGATGTAGGCGAACTACAACTCCAAAACTCAAGGTCAATGCCCACCAAACCCAGTATTTTCCGTTGGTTGTGGGAGTTCTGTGTGCCAAGTTTGGTCCAATTCCATCATTGCTAGGGTTCAGAATGCTCTTTGAATGTAGGTGACCTATAAATCCCAGCAACTACAACTCCCAAATGACAAAATCAATCCTCCCATCCCAATCCCACCAGTATTCAAATTTGGGCATATTGGGTATTTGTGCCAAATTTGGTCCAGTGAATGAGAATACATCCTGCATATCAGATATTTACATAACAATTCATAACAGTAGCAAAATTACAATTATGAAGTAGCAATGAAAATAATGTAATGGTTGGGGGTCACCACAACATGAGGAACTGCATTAAGGGGTCGCGGCATTAGGAACGTTGAGAACCCCTGGTTTAGGGCTTTAAAGGTCATAACCTGCACCTTGAATTTGGCTCGGCAACTGTTGTGAAGCTATTTTAAAAGGGGCATTGTATGCTCCCTATAGTTTGCTCCAGTAAGGAGCCTGGCTGCTGCCCGTTGTACCAGTTGGAGCTTCCGGGCCGTCTTCAAGGGCAGCCCCACGTAGAGCGCATAAATACCACTATACATTTTTAGAATTTGTTTCAAAAGGATGAGGAGAGAAGCCAAGAGATTTAAAGAAAGGATGACATAACATAAGGCGTTCTTGAAGGTCATTCCAAAATGGATCAAAAACTGAGCTTTGGAAACGAGGAGTGATAGAGCTCCTATTCAAGGACTCCATGAGCCAGAAAGAATAGAATTGAGAGCCGGCAAGCTCAGAGTTAGGTCTATATTTAGAAGCCCCCTCCTGTTTGTTTTTAAGTGCTTTGGAAGAATGTGCCTTGCATCTTAACACAAAGCCAAACAGTCATGAGCCTTCAAGAGTCAGACTACCATTCTAGGACAGAAGATGCCTTTGTTCAGCCGTTTTATAAAACAGAACTACTACTTCAGAATAGGGAATGTCTGGGTAAGAGACCAGCCTCAGGGGGAAATCCCCAGCTCTCCCTGCAAAGCTATTTTTAATGCACCCTGCAAGCCCATATTTGCAGGGAAAGAATGTGTGCCATTCAAGTCCTTTTTCCATGTCATTGCGGAATGGCGGCAATACTTAACGAATAGGTGTATGTGCACATACACACCCACCCACACCCACATGCAAAGATTTTGGAATGCTAAATAATGTCATCATCAGTTGACTGACATGAACAAGAAGCTGGCTGGTAACTTGCCAGTTTCAGGAGGGAGAAGCAAACACCTCAGTTGCAAATGCAGCACTTTCAAAGCTTCCTGAGCAGCATGTTTGTTCCTTTTGCCCTCTCACTCCTAAATGCAGACATGTCAAAGAGAAAAAGGAGGCACCATGTAAACATCAGGACTTTTAGAGTTCATGAGGACAACACCCTGCTGGCCAAGAATATGAGACTTCTTTCAAGGCAAATAACCATTGCAGTCAAACAAACTGTGTCCATTCTCTCATGGCTTCCCCTGCAGCTCCATCTCAGAGGAATCTAAATTATATCGCCATTCCTTCAAATCCTTCCACAAAACACCTTTGCATGCATCCTTTGGGCTAACCCTTTCATCCTCAGATTCAAGCAGTATGGGAGGCCACACTTTTGAATTGCATTTCATCATTTTGATAATGAAGATGACAGTTTATCTTCATTATAATGAAGATGACAGTTTATTCATATGGCATCATCAACTTCCATAGTGTTTTACGTAAGTGGTTTACATGTTTTTTAATTCGACAATTCCCTGCCTTCAGTCTTACAACCTAAAAAGACACAACACACATGGAAAAGGGGGTAGTATTTAAGGAGCGGACTGCCATATACAGGCAGTCCCCAAGTTATGAACAAGATAGTTTCTCTAGGCTTGTTCTTACGTTGAATTTGTATGCACGTTTGAACAGGGACCTTTTTGAAATGCAACTCCAGTCAAAAATATTTTTTTTGGGGGGGGGGATGTTAACACCCCAGTGGTGTTTGTTATTGCTGTCTCTGCCTGTTCAGAAGATTTCACCTCACTTTCTTTTTTTTTCTTTTTTTTAAATATAATTTTTATTGTGCATATTTATATTTACAGCAAGATTAAAGAAAAGGTTATATGAAAGCAAGTAACGACAATAGAGACAAAGGAGACAGATAATAGTGGTAGTGACCGTTACATATAAACATTAAAAACATAAACATAACCATTAACATTAAACATTAAACACCTCACTTTCTGTCCTGTGAGAATTGGATTTTGGGAAATGTGGGTTGTTGGGAGAACAAGGATCGGAGAGAAAGCTTCAGTGGAGACTTATTTTCCCCAGGATAGTAACTCTTCCAGGAGCGGAT